TAATCATATCCTGTTTTCATCTCTTGAATAGTTGGAGGTGCGTATAATTGTTTTTTCTCTTGTAGTCTCGGGAACTTTGCTGCCTAAAAGTAGAGGTGAATCACAGAGAAAGGAAGAAAAAAAGAAAAAGTAAGATTTCTATTAGGATATATTTTGTTTTTCTTCATTGGATATAATATAGGTGTGAAATTATTTTAGAATAATAAAAGATGATATATCCAAAGACATGCTAGTTTCATGAGAATAGGAAATAGATATATGTTTCATGAATGGACCTCTAATTCCTTACTTCTCTCAAGTGAGTGAGGCCCTGAGACCTTGTATCCAAATTTCTATATCACTCACAGCAGTCTTCTTTAGGGCAACTAATCCTGACAATCAACTCACTTGTGTGCTTATGTGGATATGAAATGAGTATTCCTGTCAGTGCATAATTTCTCATTAACTTGTAAAAAGAGATGAGCAGCTTAAAAGGCGGAATAGTCTTGACCTTTAGACAAGTGAGCTCCAAAGTCCACTTAGCTATGAAGTTTAAGGAGGAGCTTTGAGAAAATAACTCTGTCCTGACTTACATTTTGAGGATAAAATGAAATAATGTACTGCAACCTATCCTGGTCATCCTGAAGAAAGGGAAGGATGTAAAATTATCATTAAATGCAGGCTTCTAGATGGATCATTCTGAAGTTTTATTTGTGTTTTCTACTTTGCACTCAGAGCAAACTTTTGCATGTACACTGAGAGGATCTTATGAAGATGCACAGAATATTTTATTGGATTCAAGTTCCAGAGATGCTCCGCCAAATCATACAACTTTCCACTATGCCAAGTACTGTAATCCCAAATTAGAGATACAATTATTGAAGAAACGTTCCATTTGTGTGAGTTTTTTGCTGATATCTGGGGACATAACTAACTTCCATATTCTGCATCAATAAAGTATAAACACTACTTTGGATCAAAATTAAAAGACTATTGCTTAATTGATTAATTAATTAATTAAAAAATATTTTTCCATTTGCCATTGGGCATCATAGGAATCTGATTTTTTTCCTGGAAAAGCTAATCAAGAAGAATGTTAGAAGTAAATCATGGAAAGTTTCATAAATGGGGAAAAATCACTTAACAGCTATCTCTCTTAGCAATAGAAATTTTAGGATCAGCTGTCGTTATAAATTAAATGCTACCTTTATTAGAGTTTCTTATTTCTACTTGGTTCTCTCCTATAAAACTCTCCCAGAATTCTGTAACCAAGAGTTGATAGCCGTAATCTTAATGCACATCTGCCTAGTCAAAGCCTTTTATCTTTAATTAGAATCAATTATTCCCTCCCTCATAGCAATAGCACAGACTTATATACCACTTCATAGTGCTTTACAGCCCCCTCTAAGCGGTGTACACAGTCAGCATATCGGGTCCTCATTTTACCTATCTCGGAAGGATGGAAACAGTGGTAGGATTCAACTGGTGTAACAACTGGTTCGCTTTGCACACAATTTGCATGTGAACGTGCGCTTTGCGTGCACGTGCGCCAAGCACGTCCTGCACATGCGCACACTGCATTTGAAATCAGCACTAAATATTACCTTTTCCTACAGCCCCGAGAGTAAAACAGCTGAGACATGGCAACCCCGTCTGCCGCGCTGCTCAGCTGGGCTTCAAACAAAGGAAATATAGGATGGAATAGAGCAGGGGCAGGTGGGTGGGGTCAACTGATCGTCGGAACTACCTGTTTACCCAAACCCATCTGAACCAGCTGAATCCCATCCCTGGATGGAAGGCTGAGTCAACCTTGAGCCTGGTGAGATTTGACTTGCCAAATTGCAGTCAGCCGGCAGTCAGCAATAGAATAGAAAAGTTGTTGCTTTTCACAATACAACTATTACTAGCTATTGCATCACAGCTACTGTTATGCTTAATACTACCTGGAATGCTGTTATTTCAAAAAACATGTCTTCTGACTATTTGCTTTCTCCCCTCTTTTAGTGTCCCTCAAATGCTACACTCGCCTTCACCGTGCCTTTGTATCAGGTTCCTTTGGGAGAGAGAATAGAAGTAGGAAATGTGAGTCTTTTCTGTGAACAATGCCCATTTAGTTTTCTGTACTGCTTCCCTATGTCCAACAGATAATATAATTAAATACAATAATACTCTCAGTCAGGGGTGGGCTTCAAAAATTTCAGCAATGGGTTCTCTGCCTGGCTGCTGGGTGGGTGTGGTCATGGTGGATGTGGCCTAGTTGGCCTCTTGCACCATGGTGGTGGGGGCGCGTTTTTGCCTTCCCTGGGCTATGGAGGCTTTCCTCAAGCATGGGGCGCTGAGGGAGGGCAAAAACTGCCTCCCCCAGGCTCCAGAGGCTGGAAACGGGCCTTCCATTTTTGGCCTTCCGGAGCTTCCAGGAGGCCCGTTTTCCCCCTCCCTGAGCCTCCACATTACTTACGTTGCATCCAAAACAGGCTGTGTGGAGACACCTGGGAGGGGCAGAGTGGTCGAGGCCAGCCAGGGGTGGGATTTGGAGGTTCTCTGATCCAGCCATAACATTAGCTATGGGTTCTCCCGAACCTGGGTGAACCCATAGCAGCCCATCCTGCTCTTGGTGCAAACCTCTCTGCATCTTCTGAAAAATCATTCAGAAGATGTTCCATGACTTTACCAAGTGAGTCTAGGATTCTAGTAGTGGCATCTTACTTCTGATGAGGATAACAAGGAATTTTCTATCCAGGCATTGCCTAGAACACAGTATATGATTTCACTGTTTGAGACTGAGGATTTAGAACAGTCATGCTGATGAATTCAGTGGTTCATCAGAACAAGACCAGCTTAAGCTGCCACTGCTAAAAGAAGCATTTTCATATCTAGGTTCCTTTTGCTATTTAGGAACCTTTTTTCTATATAATTGGGTTAAGTTTGTAGCTTAAGAATATGGAACTGCAAATGATACCAGGATATCTAGAAGCAATCAGTTTTTCTCTTTGGAAAAGCTGACTTTTAGCTGTATTAACATTTAAAATTAAGTTCCAGTTTCTGTGAATAATTAGCAGCTATCTGACTGGTTTCTTCCCTTTAAAGAGACAATTTGTTTTAAGAATATCTGTACAGTTTTATGTACAAAATATATCTGACAATGAAATATAGCATATAAATATAATCTAGATGCAAATTTTATGTTAGATTCAGTAAGAATCTTTTCCCCATTCAGAAGACCCATTGTCAGTGTTCCAAATATCATGCAGAATTAAATCAGAGTC